GAACACAAGAAGCACAAGCAGAAGGCTTGCAAAGTACTTAAAGAGTGAAGTTACACATTATACTTAGTCCATACTAAATCTGTGGAATGTTAAATGGCATTAAAAGTTACAATGTGCTGTGAGCAGTTGCACATTACAAGTTAATACCATTTTTTGCCTACACAGCTCTGATTTGTCACCAGAGGCCTGGTGAGAAGGGATATAGCTAGGAGCCAGGACACTTGGGCTCTATCCCTGCTCTAGGTTTGTGGGAGAGGGAGATGACAGCAGCGCATCCTGGGATGCTAGAGGACTACAAAGTACTCATTTTATCTCCATGAAGTTACCCTAACATTAGCTAGGTAGGACTGCCCAACTTAAATATATGTAGGTTCAGTTCTTGACCCAGTTTTATTGCAAGCCTAACAAGCTCTAAACTTCAAGTGCAAGCTTCTCTTTTGACCTCTCACTGACCTTGATGTGTTTTGTCAGCATAGCATTGGATGTCCAGGGTGTTGTAGCATCTGTGTCTTTACTGAATTTCACCTCAGCAGGACCCTGTTAATAAATACAGAGACAGCTATCGTGGAAAGAAGCAGTGCATCATGTTACGAATGCTTTCTCTGGAATCTTCATCACTGTATTGAACTAAGCCTACAGTGTCCAAGAAAATATCTCACAGAGCTGTTAGAGGGAGCACTCTCCCCTTGATTTCTCTCTCTGCCTGTGATACAACACTGTGTCTATGCATGGACCTGAGAATGTTCTGTACAGGTGGGAAATACAGAATTTTGGAATGCAGCCCTCTACCAGCCTGACCCAAAAGCACAGCTTTTGCCTTGTAAAACACCACATTTTGTTTTAGAGAGCCTCTCCATGCACATGTTAATTTTAAAACACTGCACAGTACAAAGCTGTTGCCATTGTCAAGACATTTTCAGGGCCACTAAGATTGTGAGAGTTGTTTTAATACTTCATTTTTTCCATCATTGTTGGTTTTGCTAAAATCTTAGTCAAATTTGTGATTTTAAAAAAAAAAACAACCTTGTGCAGTATGTTGCAGATGGCATCAAGAGACTGGGAGGCAGATCATTAGCAACAGCAGCCCACAGGAGGAGAACTGATGGAGTAATTCAGAATTACAAAGCTGGCTTGTACCTCCAGCCCACCACTCTCAAATTCTACAAGCTCCCAGCAGCTTTGCTTCACCCACTCATTTATTCTATAGTAAAAGGGGTATGAGAGAGAACAATTTGATGCAATCTTCTTTTCAAAAGCCAGTTTTATGTTTCTCAGAGAACAGGCTAAGGCAGTCAAATATCATGGAGGTATATCAGGGATAAGTTTGGCCCTAAATCTTAACATGCCAAGAACTGAGGGGCACAGATGGAAGCAAGCCAGTTGCAAAGGTAGAAAGATTAATTCTAGCAGGAAATTGACATTAGAATTCAAGCCCTCTCTTTCTTGGTAGGCTAGGAAGAAAATTATATTTTTCAGTATGGCTTTCACAAATACCAAATTCATTTGCTATCATACACCCACAACAGATGGACAACTGGTTTGGAAAAAGTAAGAATCGACTCAACCTTTCTATTCCTCCATTTTATTTTCTTTGTTTCCTAGCTTTGGCTGGGGCCAGAAGAGGACATATCATAGGACAGCATGTTGCTGTGATATTTCTGACTTCTCCCAAAGATATACCAATAATGCTGCTCCGAAATTGAGACCTGATATTTTTAGGGCCTGCCTGACATCACTCACTCATAAGCAAAGTCAATTTTCTGTTAAATTACGTGGTGTAATATCAGGCAGGACTGGAAAAATGGAAATAGCTTAGAAAGCAGCGTAATGAGCAGCTGATGTGAAGCTCTGTGACATGCCACCCACCACATACTAGAAATAGCCTCAGTTATAAAACCAGCAGTGAAGTTTATACAGCTGGCATGAGGTTTAACTCTGCATAAAGGCTCAGCAAAACATCCTCTTTCTTCATTATTTTAACTCTGGGATAATAGAGCAGATGATGTACCTGCATCATGACAATAGGATCTATCGAGAAGGTCTGGTATTTGAACGGAATGTGAACAGTCTCCTTGGGGCGCAGGTAGACCTGAGGCCTGGCGTTATCACCAAGATGGAACATGTCTTCTTCTATTGGTGTGACAGTTTTGGTCAGCTCTTTGAAGTGTCTCCATTCCCTCGTGTCCACAATAACGCTGGAAGACAATTACAGGCAGAGCTGCTTTGAGGACACAGCTGTTCAGGAGCTGGTGTCCCTCTGCCCCATCCAACAGGAGCCTGAAAGCCATGCCTGGTCTGTGATATACAGTGAGGCAAAGGAGGAGAGACTGCAACCGAAAGGCCTGAGCAGATGCAGAAGCAAGGGACTGAAGCAGAACTTCATCAGCCAGACAAATCTTTGGGCTTGGGAAATGCAGAACTCCTTGCTACTCCAACACATATGCACTGCCACCCCAAAGCACACAAACATACACTACACAATGAGAGAGATGAATTTCAGGGTGGTCTCTACTTCTCTAAGTCAGTGGATCCTAGCCACTGCTATAGGCAGAACAGTCAGAATAAGGAAGTGTGAAAATCCCTTGGTTCTTTGCTTTCTCAGCTAATAGCTTGGGAGTTCTTTTCCAGTTGGATAGTCGTAAGACTAGTAGGGGCAGGTCAGGGGGGAACGAAGGTGAATGGGTCTCTGGAGAGAGAAACGGGTTATTGATGTATCATGGAACATTCATTAAAGACAGACCTCCCTGTGCTGAGAGAGCCTGAGCTCTAAATAAAGAAGCACTGAGCTCCCTTGCAGACTCCTCCCATGTTCAAAATCCTAGTGCTAGCACAGAGCTAAGAGGTACTTATGTAAAGGTCAGGCAGGCTACCCTGAAGAGGAAGCAGGCCTCTGGTCCCTACCTGAGCTCTGGGTGGTCAATCTCAATTGTCACTGTATGTTGGACGCTGTATGGGTTTTTCAGTGCAAACTCAAAGAACTCTGCTGTCCCCAGGGTAGCATAGAGTATGTATTTGGTGGTGATGGCCTGATTCAGCATGTTGGAGATGCTCTCGGCTTTGATGCGCTCCCGGTAGGCATCAATAATTTGCAGGTCCCTGGAGTGCTGAATGCGCTGTTCATGCTGACCCTTTTAAGAGAGAAGCCTGTGAGCAGTGCACTTGGCAGAGTTCCTGTCTTCTGTTTTTCCAGCAGCATTCCCTCCCTCCCTCCAACCCAGACATGGGAAAGCACCAAGGTGTTTTGCAAAGCCCAGCTCTGACTTTCCCTCTGGCCACAAAGGTATTATGACAGTGCACCTTGCTCTCTCCTCACCATGAGGGCTGCTTGTCTCCTGCTGAGGTCCTCCTGCGATTCAAGCTGTCTCACCATCACCATCCTCTCCAACTTCCGCCTGCGTATGGCACTGGCCTCACGGGTGGTATGCTGGAAGGCAATGCTTACCTCACGCAGGCGACTGAATAGCATGGCAGCCAGCTCACTGTCCACATCTGCCAGCTTCTGTGCCTGGGAGACATTCTTAGCTAAGTGAAAAGGTAAGGAGGACTTTGGTCAGAGAGATTGAGTGACTCATTGACCTGGAGGCAGAAGACAGAATGAGAGGAAGCACTGAGGGGAATACATTGAGGCAAGAAAGGGTTCTATACCAGCAAGCTGAGTGAAGGCATTCCCATGAAAGAGGGAGGCTGAAGGACAGCTGACTAAGTCTGGTTAATGGTGATGGCTGAAACAAAGCTAAATGCTTGGCCAAATGGGAAGCATTGAGAGAAGAATCACCCAAATGATTAGAGAACTGGAATACAGGCCTAACAGCAAGAGACCCCAGGAGCTCAGTCTGTTCAGCATTTCATATAGGAGGTTAAGGGCTGGCTTGGTCACAAGCTGTAAGCGTCCACATCAAAAATAGGAATTGGATAAAAGGGATCTTCAGCCTGTGAAGCAAGGCTCTTCAGCCTTTGAATGAAAAGCAACAAGCTTCAAAGACTTGACGCTGAAGCCAAACAAGTTCAGACAAGAAATAAGGTACAAACTTGTAACAGTGGAATCGTTTACAACAGGGATTCACCATCACTGGCAATTTTATAATCACAATTTGGGTGTTTTTCTTCTAAAAGGCATCCTCTTGTTCAACTCAGAGTTAACCTGGAGAAGTCCTAGGGCCTGTGCTATGCAGGTCAGAGTGGATGGTCATAATGGTCCACCTTGCCTTGCAATATGTGAGCTGTATTTTGTTTCAGTAAGAGCCTTCAGAGTAGCTGGAACTGACACTAAAAGTCCCTCTTGGAGTAATCAGGACTGAAATCTGTAGGGGAAGCCAAAAGTCCCAGGCTGGCTGTGTATATTACCGTTTCTAAAGCTTTTCACAGAGAGCAGGCAAATCACATTTCACCCGAATCCTTGCCATCAGGCCACATGTAAACAAAAAAGAAAACCAAGTGGGGCATCACAGTACATTAATTCTCCCTCGCCTATTGCTGGATACCATCAATGAGCAAAGTTCTGGTAAAGTTCCTCTGAGTTACGGTAACATAAATACAAGGCCTAAATTAAACATGGAATAAATAATAGGGATCTGAATATTATGGGATTACAAGTACATCCTAATGTCCTGCTAATTGCACAGATAAACGCAAACCTCCAAGTGGAAATTAATGATATGCCCCTCTTCTTAAGCAAAACCTTCCATTTCCAGCAACATACAAAACACACCTATGTTTTCATTAGAATGAAAACTCCTCTTTTCTAGTCCTTTCTCCTTGTTTTTTCCTCAACAAAACTGCCACTGGAATTGCTCCCGATTGAAATGCCAGCCCCATATTTAATATATGAAATTCACTCCACTACTAAGCATCTGATGCATGGGATTAAACTCTCTACATGACATGCAAGCCTGCACGACGGTTGTTTGCATCTCACTGCATTACATTTTCTTTAAAAATTGGTAAACCAGTTCTATTTGCAGGTTACCCAGGCCCAATTTAATTTTAAATCCATCTAACTGCTTCCCAGACATAGGAAATTGGCTCACACAGCTTAAGCCCAAACACTCATATTTTAGCAATAGGTTAAGTGTCTAGAATGTTTAACTACATGGGTCATGTTTAAAATATAATGGGAGAGTGCCTGGCAAGAAAGCTCCCTCTCAGACCGCAAGCTATGGATAGTTGATAGTTGTTATCAACACAGGTGCCTTCTTCCAAGCTTTGCCAGCATGTGAGGCCAGCATACACAGCACAATATTTGGCATTTGAGTACACCTGGGCCAGAGGCATCCAACTAATTGCCCAGGCTCTGTGCTTTCCAACTCCTGCTGAACTCAAAGACAATATACGCTTGGGGAGACTATTCACCAGGATTCCTGACCTCCCAAAGATAGGAAGTGGAAGCCTCATGAGCACATACTTGGGGAATTGCCAGGTCAGGGAAGTTGACTGATTCCAAAATTTCGCCTTTTCTCCAACCTGAGCCTTCCAGGGTTGGATTTACACATTACAGGTAAGCAGACACAGCTGCTCATGTAAGCACCAACATGTCTCTACTGTGACATGCCATGGCCTCATGTTGTAGCATTGAGATATGCTCTTATTCAAATATCAGGGGCAAGAAAAGCCAATCTCGGGCAAGAATTCCTGTGCTCTGCAGAAGATCTCTTCTGGCCTGAAATCGAATTATTTTTATTCTCCCCACATCACAGGCTTCTTTTTTAACACTTTGTGAAAAACAGTATCAAATGATTTCACTAACTTGCTGGCTATTCTCAGCCTGTCCACAACTTCCTTTTCCTCCCAGAATACAGCCATTGGCTGAATAACTTGTATTAGGTTAGACATGGGGCACTGCAGGTCAACCTTCCTCATCACTGCTCATAAAAGAGTCCATTTAAGACATGCACGGATGCCTAATTGTACTTTCCATAGCTTTGGGAATTCTGTTTGTATTTCATCTCTCATGCACATGAGGCTGTCCTTTAAGAACTGGCACTTTAGTTGATTAAATATTTCAACTCCTCTTCTTGCAAATATACACCTATTGTCAACTGTATAACTGCAGTGCAGAACTCTAGGGGACTAAAAATGGGATTCAGGATGTGTGTGCATGCACACACTTGTGTATATAAACAGAGAAATAGGTTTGTGGCAGAGCATGCTATGAAGTGAACAGCAGAATAATAAGAGGTTACTTTATCTCCTTTAGCCTGATTTTCATTTACATTAGATGCTGACCTCTTGACATTGCCAAACCAATGCATGTAAATGAGATGCAGGCTTTAATTATTTAAAAGACTTTAACTGGCACCCTCCTAGGCACTGAGCATTCCTCAAGTCAGGGCTGGGAGGAAGGTACAACGCACTCATCTGATCCTAGCAGGAGGAAAGGATGTCCACTCTACACAGGTAGTGATTGCATCTGCTCATCATACTCTTTCCCCAGACCTACGTTTGAGCGGGTCATGAGACTTCAACAAGCAGTTAAAATTATGAAGGACTGTAATTTACAAGTTGAGCCTTCCAATCCATAAATAGCTGGGCTGTTGCTGTTACCTATATGGAGGACTGTAAACCACTGTTAGTGGAAAATCATCTGCCATCTCTCCACTCTTGTCATCATTCTCAGCAACTATGGATTAAGAGGACAGCAGATTCTACTCACAGGATCCGAGCTGTTCATGCCTGGAGAATAACGCTTGATTTCCACAAAGCCAAGTGCAGTACTGTGATGAGCGAGGTGAGAGAGCATGGCCTGTGAATCACCAACCCAGCTGACAGAAGCTCATGCAAGTGCACTCCTGCCAACAGCTAGCATGAAGGTAATGGCAGAGGGTCCTCTTATTTTGTCCAAGTTGGACATGATGTGTCAGTATCTTTGTGGTTAAAGCTTTCCTGATACAGACCCCATGGCACACAGTGCACAAAAGGGTGGTGCAAATGCCATTTAGTAGCAGGCGATGAGAGAAAGGTGTGGAATCTGATCACAGTTCAGCCTCTGTATACTTTTTGCAGCCTTGCTTCAACATACATCAGTCTCTGAGAATTTGCCACCCATGAATTTAAACAGGTTGCAGCCTCAGGATTAAAATAGTGTGGAGGCATAATGTAGTAATTCAGTAGAAGACAGAGGACTTCATGCTGCTGTGAAGTATGTCTGTAGCATGATATTCTGGGGGACAGCCAAAACTTGTGTTCACGGAGCAAGCACATACTACTGTGTATCAGTCAGCCACTTCCTTCTACATTTCTTTCAGCATGTGAGACAGAAAGTAGTGAAGAAATAAAGCAAGCAAGGACTTACCCCCACAAGCACTGAAGGAGAACAAGCTGCCTCCGTGGAAGCCACTGGTCCCATCATGTGAGGAGACGATGCGAGAACGGGGTGGTGGCAAAGAGTTCAGTTGCTTCAGCCTCTGCTCACATAGGTGACCTGCAGCACAAGCACAGCTTGTGAAAGAGGGGCCTGCTAAGTGCTGCTGCTGCCAGTGGACACAGCTCCACTGAACTCAAGAATTTGGCCTCGTGAGCTGAGTTTGTACAGCCCTTCTGGTCCCAGCTTAACCCAGTCTCTGCCTGTAGAATAAGAACAGTCCTTCTATCTAGGAACTTCAGGCTCATCCCTCTCACGGAGCCAGAACAAACAAGCATACAGACCAAATCTATGAGTCTCCAAGCAATGCTGATAAAGAATGCAGCTGTACTCACCCATGTGACTGAACCCAGGTGGGGCTCTTCCCAGCACGGTGCAAGGCAATTTGTGTGACAGGAAAGTTGTACATATTGATCTAGCATCCCCACCTGAGTCATGAAGCTTGGATATTTAAATATGTACACATGTATTAGTGCTTCTCCATCTCAGCGGGAAAGCACCATGGCATCCTACATAATCCATTTGTGCCCTCTTTTCTTTGACAATGGAATAGATCATAGCACGCACTTTGTGACTATGAAATAAAAACACCTTGATGGGTCAGGGTGGGCTTCTGTCTTCATGTTTAAGGATTCCCATTCCTTTATCATTAACAACGATAATCACACTGTAACATGAAGTCACATTTGGGAGACCTAGAATATGGCCTTGCTTTCTTTAGGTCAGGTTGGGCAGATGTCACTGTAGAAAATGCACAACATGGAAACCAGAGCAAGTCACGCATGTTTGAAAAGAAAATGATGATTGTTCTACAGAACTTTTTGGATGTTGCTATAGAAGATTTTATCCTTGCTATCGAACTGAGAGTGTGACCAAAAAAATCAGCAACAACAACAACATCTCATTCTCAACTACATTTGATAGGCTTTGGAGTGACTTCTGCTGAGAGCCCTATTATTTTAATAACTACTACATTTTTTAGGGCTTTTCCACAAGTGTCAGACCATTCCTCATTATCAAATCAGTGTAGATACCATGAGGATTTTACCATAGGTCTTTGCAATATGGAAGTCATACATTTTCTTTTCTAATATGTATTCTCAGTGGTTCCAGTAAAGGACCAAGGACTGCCAAGAGTCCTGGGAGGTGAAGTGTGTCAGTAAGAGGCACAGATTCTTCATGGCATTAGCCTGTAACACAAGGAAAGCTTGTTGTTTTAGTGTCTCTTTCTTCCACCTCCACACACATATATAAAGGGAACAAAAGTAGTCTGAACACTGATCTATTTACTGTGTTGGCACCTCTTTGAGCTCTGGGGATTTATGCTCATCTATAAGCGATCCCTAACTGTATGGGGTGCAGCTGTAAAGTTGTCTGTGTATTTACCTAACCTATAAATCTCTTCTCTGTCCTTCAGACAGGCACTCCATAAATGTAGAGTAGTATGGGAAATGCTTGACTATAGATCTACATGGCATTTAAACACTCAGAGCTGGATGCTGTGGGTCAGTAGGAGTGTCCTACATGCATTCTCCTCCACTTGCCCCATTTACATCACAGCTGGGGATGCTGGCAGCCTCCACAGATGTGGGTTGGGGTCAAAGCCATGCCATTCCTACCATATAGAGGAGAACATATGCTTCATGCTTTTGTAAGAACAGCTCCCTCGGAGTGCCCAGGGAATCATTCTGGTACATCCCAGACCGCAGCCAGGTACTAAAACTGCACAGCCCTTAGGATCTGGGTTGTGATGTCACCCATGAGCAAACTGCCTGCCACTACAGTCTGCAGGGCCACCTCCCTGGATCACAGACCATGCCACACTGTCAGCGTGGGGTGAACTACAAGAAAGCGGTTCCGGGGCTACTAGCACTATGCAGGTATCCTCGAGAGATCCCTTGCATTCAAGGACAATGTCGCAGTCCTGCACACATCTTTTTTTATGCATGCTCCTGCAAGCAGAACTTTAGCAGAAATACTTCAAGCTGTTTAATCCCTTGGCACATGTGCAGTGAAAAGGTTCATGCTCTCCACCACAGTTTGTGCCCTGCAGCTCTGGCAGTGTTACAGTCAAGGAAAGTGTAGTTCTTTCCTGGTCTCTTTCTATGCTAAGAACACCACTCCATCTGTAGTGGTTCCTACCCTTGTTTCATGGCCCTGTTAGAAGTTGTTAACCAGATGCATTTTGCTGCAGCCTGCATGCCCGGGGGAGAAGTCTACTTGATGAGTCCCACCCTGACAACAACCTTTGGTATTTAAAACAGCCTGCAGACCATTTCTATAAGAACAGCATCGTGGTCTAGAGACGCAGTTAAAAATGAATCCCTCCTCACACTCCCATGTGAACAACAGTCAGCAGCTCAGTTACTGAGAGCTGCTGATTCTTCACCCAGCGTAGCTGCAGTCAAAGAAACACAGGCACTTTAAACAAAAGCCGCACACCTGTGAAGGAAAAGATTAAGAGTAACAGCTGCTATTACTGCAGCTAAAGGAGATTGAAGGCATCTTTCCCTGTTTATTTTACTGTGCACTTGATGGCAGCTGGCATTCAGTCACTGTGGCAGCTTCTTCTACATAACCCGTTCCCCCTTATTGTTCATGTGCGTCTTTCACAACCACAAGGGACAGAAAAGTATTTGAAAACCCTTGGAAAATGTCATTGCACACTGGCAACCAGCTCAGGAACAGGGGCCATACCTGAAATTGCTTTGAACTCCCTTTCCAGAACAGATGCAATTACTGATGCTGATGCCCCTTTAAATATCTGCAAAATAGGGGCAAAATGGACACAGCAGATAAAGGCTGGGACTAACAATGCCTTTATTTTACTCTGTTTGGTCCCAATTCTGTTTCTCTACACAAATGCCATACAGTTTATAGAAAAGGTGCTGCTGCTCAGTACACGTTTAGAAAGGACTTTAAAAAAATTAATGTTATTGTGAAATCCAAAAAAATTCTCCCAAAAAATCAACAAGCAGCTGTATTATTGATGTGGTGGGATTTCTTTCCTTTTTTTTTGATTTGTCCTTTGTTAATCAGTTTCCCTTGCTGGGTTTGAGTTAAACTCCTCTCTGGTTTTGTGAATCTCAGGCTCTCCTCCTGAGCAGCTTATCACCCTCTTGCAGGCAAAGTATGAAAATGACGATTTAAGATATCTTATAATGGAGTTAATCTTTCTTCTGAAGATAAGGGTCTAAAACCTGGAGTCACTGCACATTTAGAGGCTGGTGAATTAAATACAAAAAAGCACCCAATCCATTCTAGGAAGCATAATGTTCTTACAAGTTTGGTTGTCTTATAGGTACAGCTTTGTGCTTCTTGTCTGTTTCTCCCATGTCTCCAGGTTATTCGACTAGCACCTAATTGAGTGTCGCTGTTTCCATATTGTCTGCTTCAAAGCAGCCTTAGATTGTACATTTGTAAACAAGCAGGCAGAAAAAATTCAAAACAGAATTAATGAGCTGTGTTTCCTCCTCTTTCTGCAGCCTTGTGTTATTACTGGCTATAGGCAGAGAGTGTGCATTGGATAATATGAGCACTAGGGTTTACAACCATGTTGATTCTTTTTCAAGCAACTGCAAATTCTCTCAGCAGCTCCAGTCAAGAGCTCAGCTGGGTCACAAAAGGGATTTTCCTTCCCCAGCTGCACAAGAACCTTTTGGGCCAAACACACTGCTCCTGTGGCAATGTATTTTGGACTTTGCCAGTATAAAAGCATTATGCAAGTATAGGAAAAAGTTATGGCAGATTTACACTTGCATTTTAAGTATAGGACTCACAGTACCATTGTACTAGGAATTCCTTGGTACTCACAGCATTTGTCCCAAGAAAGGAGCAGGAAACAATTTGTTCTTACTCTGAGACAACTGCTTTGGGGAATTAAAAAGATTTAACGAAGTCCAGGGCCTTTTACAGAAGCTGAAATTAGGCAAACTATTTATGCCACTGCTAAGCTGTTCACAAGCTGGGACACAGGAGCTGTGAATAAACAAAATGTAATCCAGAATGCCGATGCTTGGTTGAATGGACATCTGGTTACCAATACATCCCCAATAGCTCTGCAGAGTATGTACTTATGAGCTCCTCAGGAGTTCAGGCTCAGGCCTGGAAGCCTGGGCACAAAATTTCTTTCAGCCATTAGCATCCAGTTTCAACTTTCAGCAGTGTTTGTATTAACATATTTCCATGTGGGTCACAGTGTCCAGCAACTGGAGCACTGGGAAACTTGCTGCATTCTGAGCTCTGCTACTGACCTATCAGCACTTGGGCCACATCCAGAATATCTCCCAGCTGAGCCTAGGACCAGCACTGAGAAACAGACCCACCCACTTGCTCTTACTGTGTGGTTTCCAAGTCCTGCAAAGAGGCAGCGTAGATGGCCCTCACGCTGCTCTGAGGCTCTCCTGAGTCAAAACAGGCAGGGCTTGTTTCCCGGTGGCAGTACAGGCTCAGCAGGGAGTCAATACAGATTCAGCCATGGTAGCTGATTCCTCAGAGGTGCTGGAGACTTGCAAGTCCCGGTAAGGCCCTCTCTGCACCTCTGCATGTTCAGCCCCCCAGCAGCCCAATCTGTACAATGGGAATAAGGTAGCTTCCTGCCATGTACACAGTGATTTGAGGTCTGTAGGTGGGAAGTGCTGTGCAAGCACTAGGCGTTGCTGCATTCCACTGAGGGTAAAAATATCTCTGTTTTGGGAGATGATAATAACACTGAAGAGAGGGAGGGACATGATGCATCAAGCTGCTGAGGTACAACATAGAGGATAGGACACATTGATGATAGGACTGAAATGCAGCAAGGGAGGTTACCACAAGAGTTGTGTGCAGCAAGAATTTGGAAGAACAGAGGAGAAATCTTAGGTCATGTTCTTTCTCTAAGGAAAACCGTGTCACCTGTAAAGGCCATGAATCAGCCAGAATACCTGAAGTTCATTCTTACCAACATTAGCCAAGCACAGATGAAGTCGACCTTTCACCACTGCATGGACTCCTATGGGCTTCACCGAGCCATGCCGGAGAACGTCCCCGCTCATCACTGTGGTGTCCTGCTCATATTCAGTTGAAATGACCTCCAGCTCATGATGCACTTGAACTGCTGTCCGACCCTGGCGGAGCAGGTGCTGTGAGATGAAAGAAACCCACCCTGAAGCCAAAAAAGTATACATTCTGTGGGTCCTGCCCATGATAGACCATTCTTTCTACTTGGTAAATGATTTTCTCTGTCTGTGCAATTCTTTGACAGGTTTTCTTCAAATAAATGCTCTATCCAAAGTTTGCTGTTAGTTTTCTTTTCTAGCATACCTGAGGCTTTTTTTTAGCTCTTATGTCTCAAAAGTTAATCGCAGTTCATAGCTCATAGCTTTTATCCCTGGTGTAATGGTGTGCTGGTTGCAATAGACAAATTAAAACACCCTGTTTAGGGCAGGCTGAGCCTTCTCTGAGGTTCTGTGAGACTCAGAAGGTGGTGGTTTTGCAGGTTTTTCTTTCTCTTTAATTCTTTTGCAATGACCCAAATCGGTTGGGAGACGACAGAAATGAAACAAACTTGTGAATAATAAATAGTATTTTTTTTAACTGCATTTTACTAGATATCCAAAAAGACACAACTGAAAAGAAAGCTCTAGACTGGTTGGAAAAAAGCAATCTGGCTAGAAGTAGAAGTGGGAATGGAAAATGGAAGCTAATAACAATTAACATAATTTAGAAGCATGGATATATAAAAAATTGATAAGGAAACCAAAAGGGAACAAGGAGAAATAAATGGTCAGCACAGTTAAAGGAAGCAAAGAGGGAGACACTTTTTTAATGTATTAGGGACAAAAGCAATCCTCCCATGGTAGTTATCCATGACAAGATGTAAATGGTAGCCTTTTCAGTAAAAATTCAGAATGTTCCATAAAAGTTTCTGTTCTATATTTGGGGAAAACACAGAGAATATTACACATTACAGGAGGAGAAGGATGAAATACCATCTTTTCCAACAGTAACTCAGGAGAATGTTAAAGAGCAGTTATTAAAGCAGGATTTTTTTTTTAAATCAACAGATCCAGAAAACTTGCATTTAAGAAGCTTAAACAAGCTGCCTGAGAAGCTCTCTGGACTTTTAATGTTGATTTTTCAATAAATCTTGGAACACACTGTAAGTCCCAGAGGATTGGAATGCAGTTAATGATATACCAATGCTTAAATGGGGTAATCAGGATGACGCATATAATTTTAGGCCTGTCAGGTTAGTTCAGTACCAGGATGATACAGGATTTGATGAAGAAACAATTAAGAATATCATTATTCCCAACAAACATGGATTTATAGAAAATAAATCTCGTGAAACTATTGGTTAATAAAGATAAAAGTGTTGAGGTAACACACTTAGATATCTGCAAGTGTGTAAGGCCTTGGTGCTGCATGGCAGGTGTACGGCCTTGGTGCTGCATGGCATCTTGACTATGGAACCAGAATGATACAAATTCAATGTTGTGTATCATAAATGGTTTAAAGACCAGCTAGCTATGAGAGGTCTCAGAACACAGCGGTACAATGGGGACACATCATCAGGTGAAAATGTTTCTAGGGACATTTTATAGGGATTTGTTCTTTACCCTGCGTGTTTTACAAGTTTTATCAATTACCTTCAAGAGAACATACTATATTGCTAATTAAAGTTTGCATGTGATACATGGGTGAAGGAAGAGAAATACAGGAGAAGATACAGCCATGGTGAGTGTAAAGAAGGCATTTCAATATAGCTAAATGTAGAGTTGTTGGTCTACGTACAAAGTGTGCAGGCTGTGCTCACAGCATGAGGAACTCTAACCTTGGCAGTAGCAACTCTGAGAAAGGCTTGGGGGCTGTAGGGGATGATGATCATGGACTTTGAGGATACAGCTGAAAAGACCAATGTGATCTTGGAATAGATAAATGGGGAACAGGCAGGAGGCGTGGGGAGGCTGCATCACCTCTCTATTTGGTATAGTGTCCACTCAAAACTTGGAGGGGTTTCAGGGAAGAACCATGAAAATGATTAAAGAAACTAAGTGAAACTCTACAGGAGCTCTAAGTAAGTAGCTTATCAGGGAGGAGAAGCATGACTAGATTGATCACAGTCTTCAAGTACCTTCATGGTACTTATATGGTCCTGACATAGAAAACAGAAATTTGAGAACACTCGGATGAGTGGACAAAGTTCTACTAGGTCCAGGAGCTAGAAGTTGAAGTCAGGCAAATTCAGACCTGAAGAAAGACTGAAATCTGTAACAGCAAGGTGAGGTAGCCATTGGAACAAATTAAAAAGGGTTGCAGGGAATTCTCCAGGACCAGAAAGCCATAAGTCAGATAAGGTGTGTTTTGTTTCTGGGGAAGTCCTGTGGTAAAAGTGAGATGCCAGGCTAGACCATCAGAATGGTCATTTTTGGCTTCGGAGTCCAGGATAAAAAATCAGTCCTTGATGGACACAATGGCAGATAGGGCAGGGAGCAGAAAACAAAGCAGCAAATTAGGCAGGCAGCACAGGACAGGGAGTAGAAAGTAAAGCAGTAGATTGGGGAAGGGCACAAAACAGAGAATAGAAATCAGAGCAGTCGATCAGGCAGGGGAAGAGGACGGGAGTAATACTTGGGGAGGTGAGTGGATAATTTGTAGCCACAACAGATCCCCACCCACACTGCCTCAGGGGACCCAGCAGGATATGGAGCTTTTACCTCTCAGCTACTGATATGAATCCAGACGGCTTAGCAGTGAGCAAAAATTCTAACTCCCTCAGGGCTGTAAATAGTGGTGCTCAGACCATTTTCCCAGTGAAACATGTTTGAACAAACCATCTCCTAGCACTTGGCTCTGTTTGCTCCTCTTTCCTGGCAGCCCCAGTGGAGATGTATGGGAGTCAGTGGATCCAGAGCATGGACTGGGCCTTCCCTGCAGCACAGGCAGTGTTGCAACCCATACACAAATGAAGCCTGCTGGCAAGGCAAGAGTAACATATACTGCTGCTGCTTCTTATGACTGTGTCCTGTGAAGCAGTGAAGACCACTTACTCTCCAGTTTTGTCACTGCAACACCTTTCTGGAGCACAAGGAAGGAACCTCCCAGCACCACCCCTTTTTTGCCAACTTTGAAAAATCATTAGATCAAATTTCAGTGCCATAGAAACTAATGCTTATTCCCAAAACCCTCACAGAGTCATCTTCTTTACCACATAACTCAGGGCTGATATTTGCAATATTTATTTGCAAAGCTCAGAAACTCCAGCACCACTGTCCTCTGTACAAACATACAACAAAAATCCATTTAAAATTCTTAACACTCTAGGCAGGGGTTGTCTTATATTCTTTGAGAGTTTTTGATATTATTAGTAAACATGGGCTTGTTATGGGAAAAGTTTCCTACCTTCAACCTAACTGCCACAGATCCAATGAGCAGCAAAGAGTCTCCATCCCAGATGTCAATCTGTAGGGTATGGTTAGCTAGGTAACGCAGAAACCAACGTTGTTCTCCAGCCTTTAGGAAAGCAGGATCTACCAGATAATTTAGCTGCAGCCCTGAAGTGCCTGCAAGACAAGGAGTATTTTCCTGACCAAGCAAATTTAACAGTTACTTCTTAGCAGATTCATTTCTGAATTGGGTTCTATCAATGTGTCTACCTGCAGTCCTTCAATAATGTTCTCCCTTGGTAATGTCTAGTGCCTCATAGGGTGCTTGTAGACATGCTGGGATGCTGCTCTGACACACTGTAATTATAGCTCATCGGAGCAGGCTCAATGATTCATAGTTTCGTAGTTAGTAGGGTTGGAAGCGACCTGAGCAGATCATCAAGTCCGACCC